GTGGGGAGGCATGCGAACGCAGGAGGGAGGAGGGCGAGGAGAAGGAGGAGGAGAAGGAGGAGAAGGAGGAACGCGGGGACCGTTTCTTCAAAACGAGGACCCAACACCACAGGATGGTTGGGAACTAGGCCCACGGCAAGGGGAAGAACATATAATCATGAAGACGGAGAAGGACAAAGAGCGGTGATAGAGGAGAAGCAGGAAGAGCCGGAGGAAAACGAGTGGGGTGTCGAGGAAGAGGGCCCGACCGCCACCGCAGCGGCCATCGGATCTCGACTGGCATGGGCCCCACTGACAGCGTCCAGCGACTGGATTGCAGAGAGCTCGAAATGAGCGACGACACTCATGGTACTACCATTAGGAACGCGAAATGAGGAACGGAGTCCCTGCTAGAGGCTCCAGGAGGCGCCTAGGTGCACGAGGCGCGCTAGAAACACATCCATGGAACAGCGAGCCCCTTCCAAACCCGAACCGTTCATTATTTCAGCGTTCCCCCTTTCCTTCTTTACAGTTTTTTGGGGAAGCCTTCTGAGTTGGAACTAAAGCCCACTGTATCATCTGTGAGTGGTTAGCTCTATACAAGCGAACCTGGGCCACTACTTTTTTTAGGTCCAGAATGAATTGTCTAAAAAAGTATACATTGCTTCACACAGAATTTCCCAACATACTTGCAATAGAGAAACACTGTGAGGTATGACCTGGCACGCTGGGCGATGTCAGGCACTGGCTAGCGTCCAGGATGCTCCCCACCCTCGATACCCTCCGCAGCTGCGAGTCCTTCACGGCATAGGCCAGCACGCTTCCAATCCGCATGCAGCGGCGGTTCCTTCCTCTCCCGGGGAGCGTGCGGTGTCGGCCCCGCGAGGAGGAGAAGGAGAAGGAGGAGGAGGAGGAGGAGGAGGAGGAGGAGGAGGGCGAGGAGGAGGAGGAGGAGGAGGAGGGGGAGGTAGCGAAGGGCAGGACCCATGGCAGGAGGTAGCGAGGGGTGGGGGAACGAGGAGCAGGTAGCGGGGAGGCGGTAGCGAGGGGGGGGGGGGAGTGTTGGCACGCAGGTGGCCCCCGCACGCCTCGAGGAAGCAGCCCGGAGGGATCGCGGCATGCTTTTCTCCCGCGCGGCCAAAATGTCCCGGTCTTTGCGACGAAAGGTCTATGAGCGCCCAGCGCGTGTGTTGAGCAGGGACCGACCGTCCCGGCATTCCTATAGTCCTACCACGACATGCTCTTAGAACCCAGACGTGTTCTAAGAACAAAACCAAGGTTCTCAGAACATAAACCCGATGTGTTATATCAAGACAGCCCCAGCCAGGAATGTTCTAAGAACATCTCGTGGGAACCACGAAAGGTCCTTAGAACATCGTTTGGTGCGGCTATATGTATAGGCGAGCCGGGACGCTTCGCCACTGCTCGAGTGTGCGCGCCGCGCGCCGCGCCGGCTGCGCTGCCGCCTGCGGGAGCGTGCCCGTGGCAGGGCAGCGTGCTGCGCGTTTCTCCTCCCCCTTCCCCACTCCCCAGCGGCATGATGTTTTCATGACGTCGCCCCCCAGAGGTTTCGACCTATTCCCCGGGACCGGTTGTGCCTCCTGAGTCGTGTTTTTATGGTCCCGAGGCCCGGTGAGGGCCCCCAGGGGCCGAAAACGGTGAAAAACAACCTCCCGTCGTGAGCTTTGTTCATCGCTCGAAGGGGTCTAGGCCATTTGCTGTCGCTGCTCCCCCTCATCGCTGCTCCCCCCATGAGAAGCCCTCGCCATAGCGGCAAATCGATGCACGTCCGCGGCCTCGCTGTCCTGGACTCCTCGGCAGCGGCCCCCCCTAATTAGGCACGGGGCGGCTCTGCACGCATGCTATGCCCCGTGCTACACGTGTTTCCTCGGGATCGCGCGTCCATGGGGTCGCGCTGGGGTCGTCCAAAATCCGCCAACAGGCGGATTTTGGAGGAATAACAAAAATAATTAAAATAAAGTCAACAATGGAAATTTGGACGAACAGTTGACGAAAAATTGTAATCGTCCCAATCATATGTTTTGGTTGTTAACCGTTCCTCCTGTCGAGGGACACGCGCAATCGGCCCGTATCATACGGATGCGCGATAAGGAAGCAAGGGCCTTGGAAGGCCATCTCGACGCTGTGCAGGGACCAGCCGTCCTGTCATTCCCATAGGCCTACCACGGATTGATTTTAGAACCCAGCAATGTCCTAAGAACAATGTTCTTAGAACGCAAAGCCAATGTGTTAAAGCAAGACAGCCCCAGCCAGAAACGTTCTAAGAGCAATCATTTCGTGCAAGCTACAAGAGGTTATGTTAGAGCATTCTTCGGTGTGCCTATAGGCAAGCCAGGACGCGTCGCCACTGTTTGATGTGCTGAGTCTCCTCGTGCTGCTTGCGTGCTGGGAGGGCGGGTGGGTGTGAGCGAGGCAGCTTGCGGTGACACTCCCGCCCGTCGCCCCTGCCCCACCCGAACAGGGGTTGCCAAGTGTGTGTGTGTGTGTGTGTGTGTGTGTGTGTGTGTGTGCCCCTGGCCAGGGGTGCCCCGGGCATCCCGCGACCCTCTGGAGCCCATCTTAGGTTTCGCCCTTTGTGCCTCCTGCCCAGACCCCCTCGAGTAGTGAAGTAGGTTTTTCATAATGGCCCTCACCGAGCATCGGGACCGTCAAAAAACGACTCAGGATGAAGAGCCGGTCCCGGGGAATACAAGTCGAAACCTTTGGGAGTCGACGTCTTGAAGAAATCATGACGTCGGGGGCCTGGGTGAGGGGGGCCCTGGAGGCCGTGGGGCTTCCAGCGCACCCATCTGGCTGCGATTCCGACCGACATGTTGTTGTGAGTATCCCGTGCCAGCTCGCTCCTGACCAGTCTGACCCCTTGCCAGCCGAAACGCGAAGGCTCAGCTGAGGCATGCCCGGAGAAGGGCTGAGCTTGTACGATTGCTGCGGATGTCTCTCCTACGACCGCGACATGCGCGTGCTGTGGTCTCGGGGGTGGAACAAATACTTAGCAGAACGCCCTCTGGTGACAGCAGCCAGGGACACTCCACGTAGCGATCGTCTTCCAAAAGCAACCACACGCATCTGGCGGAGCGCACGTCGATTAGCAAAACCGACTGGGGACTGCACAGGCACACTAGCATGCCAGTGTCAAGGGAACCGGTGCAGAGTTCCTCGGTCGACTTGTCTGGGGGCCCGGGGGGCGCTCTGACAATGCCCGACAGGACTCGACCGCCCTCCACTCCCTGGGAGTCCTGGGGGCACCCTTCGGGGGCGTCCAAGAGGGGGGCGTCCAAGAGGCGGCATGTGCGCGGCACCAGGGGGGCGGCTGGGGACGTAATGGAATAAGAGGAGGCGCCACGAAATCTGGGGAGATCTCATGGCACCCACCACGATGTCCACCCCCCGTCATCACCCCCCTCTTGTCGGGGATGGACAGAACCCCCTTAGCAAACTGTGGTTTAGTGAAAACGACCTCGGGCCCAAACCTGGCGGGTGCAAGCCTGGAAAATGACGGCCGCGGCGCCCTCTCGAGAACCGACAGCGGACCATTCACGAACCGACGTGTCAGGGTGGGGGCTCCCCTCCCCGATCTTGGCCGCCCCCGAACCCTCGGCCAAGGACATCTACGGCAGCTCCCCCCTCCCGTGCTGCGAGGCTAGGCTTAGGTTGGGCCTGTCCCCCTACAGGGGGATTCCAGGCGAAAATTAAAGACACTCCGAAAATACCCCCCAACTGCTCAAAACTAATATTATTTAAAAACGTCCCCACATTATTTCTTCACTATTTCTTTCACACGTCGAGGGACGTGCCCAACTGAAACCTGCGGCAGCCCCCCCCCCTCCCGTGCCGCGAGGCTCGGCGAGCGTGCGACCCCCGCGGGGCCTCGGGCACCAAAAACGCGGCGCACGGCGCACGGCGAGCTGCGGCTCCTCCCGGGCGCGGCCGGCACGGGCTGCCCCGGGCGCCCCGCCCGACGGAGCGCACCGCCGGGCGCAGCGGGCGGAAGACGCCAGGAAGAGCCTGCCCGACAGCGGGGGCGCCCCCAGACCCCCCTCGAGCGAGGAGCAAAAGTCGCGACGGGAGGTGCTTCGCCATGTTCGGCCTCTCGGGGGCCCCTGCCGGGCCTCGGGGCCGTCAGAAGACCACTCGGGATGAGGAACCGGTCCTGGGGAAGGGGTCGAAACCTCGGGGGGTCGACGTCATGGAACAAAACTCATGACGTCGGGGGCCTGGGCCCGCCCCAGGGTGGCCGGGAAGCTTGTAATGTTCCAGCCAGAGCCAATCGAAGGGATGGAGTCTAAGGACATGCGCGTGCCCGCAAGGGTCCCCTCGGGCCGGGGAGGCTGAGGACGTGCTGAGGATGGCCACGCCCGAAGGACACAAGCGCCCTGGCGACAAGGGCCCATTCTGAAAGCCGTTTCTGGCTGTACCCCGACGCGCCTGCAGGGGCATGAGCTTCCAAGGCGCCCTGGGACGAGCGTCCCCGACGGAGGAGCTATAGTTGCTTTACGGTCGGGTGCTCTTGCTTCGCGTGTCGCGGCGGCGGCCCCGGCGACAAACCATGCCCTGCCGGCGGATAGCCTGTCGCTCCGCTCTGCGGGGTGGGATGCTCGGAAAGGCTTGGGACGCTGACGCCCTGGGACTGGGAGGTGGATAGCGTGTCGCGCCGAAGCATGGTGGGCCAGAACCGGCGGAGTGACACGCCAAGAGAAGGCTCCCGGCCGTATATTAGGAGGTAACTGCTGGGAGGTCTTCGTCGGAAAGATCAAGGAGGATTAAGCCCCATTGCGGGGCTGTTGCACCAGAGCGGGCTCCGGATCAGGCGGGATTCAGCCGGATGATAAGCGGGTGTCGGCGGGACCGCGCGGGATATTGGGCGGGACGAAGCCGGAGGAGGCCGGAAATTCGGACCAGGGCACAACCGGAATCTGACCTCCCAGGAGCTGCACCCGAGCGTGTGCGCCACTCTCCGCCCGCTCAGCCGGGCGGCAGGCGGCGAGAGGCCCCGCCGCGGGCTACTGGAAGGGCCCCTCGCAGGCGCGGGGCCGCTTCGCCGCGGGGGGCCGGCCTCCCTCGGCGCCCGCCGCGCCCGCGCCGCGGGCGCCACGGGGGCCACCGTCGCCGCCGCTGGCGCTGCTGGCACTCCTGGCAGTGCGCGCACGAGCATACACTGAAGGGGCCCTGGGACACACCAATAAAGACACACAAATAAACAAATGCCCCAGATGTTCCCAGATTTTCTGGGTTTTTGTCTTCCACACCACTTCTCATATGTTTCCATATTTTCCGGGGAATCGACGATTAATTGTGTCTGTGTTTTTTCCCTCCTTATACACGTCGGTCGGAAGAAGTAGGCAAAAACATGAAGCAGGAAGGCGGATCAAGTTGATTGGGTCCAGGCCCCCCCAGAGAATAACGAAACGCAGCGAGAGCGTGTCGACTCTTGAAGTAGGAGGGCGCCTGAGGCAGATTGGGATCTGGGAATCCAGAAATACCTGCTTTCAACGACCGGCGTGTAACTGCCGGAAGTCGGCGCCGACAGCCCGGATCGACACTGGAGCCCCCTCCCTGTGGGAGGCCCCGGAGCGGTGCGGTGACAGCCCGCGCGGTGACCTCGGCGATGCCACCAAGCACCACAGCGCACGGTATAGGCCGCCGCACGGCCTTGGGGCCTCGGAGGCTCAGGCCGCACGGCACGTCCTCGGAACACGACGCAAGTCCCCAAAAACGTGCGGCCACCCCGAAAACCCGCACTGACTCACCACATGCTACCAGCCTGGAACATATCCCTATCCCTAAGCTGGGCATCGCCTCATCACAATGCCAATCTTAGGGATTCCCTCAGTTTTTCGGGGCGCATCCATAAGATTGTCAGGACGAGGAGGAGGCGGAGGAGGAGGAGAAGGAGGAGGAGGAGGAGGGAGGAGGGAGGATGAGGGAGGAGGGAGGATAAGTTCGAGGCTGGTGAACATGGAGTGCTCACCGCACCGTTTTGGGGGCCCCCGCTGTGGCGCGCGGAGCGCGCCCGTGGCGGCGCCGGTGGTGGCGGCAGGGGCGGCGCCAGAGGCGCCACCACGGGGGGCTCAGCGCCGATCCGAGAAATCCGCGCGGGCCTCCGATGGCGCTGTTCGTATCAGGGGGGCGTAAGACCCGGCTACAGGGGACTCGGAAATCCCCGACGAGGTCGTCAAAAAAATGACGAGGCCGAGCCTGCATTTTGACCAGGCCTCCCGCTGCAGACATCCCACGAAACTCCTCCTCGTCAAAATCCGAGGCGCGGTCGTCAAAAAACGATGGCGAACCCGAGTCCTGGTAAACCCGGGTCTTACGCTCCCCCGATCGTAGAGGGGACAGCGGGGAACACGATTGCCCATGCGGAGCCCCAGACTTTGCCGAAGAATGGCGCTCGTCCCCCAGAAAAAAGCGCGGGCCGCAGAGCTTCAGCTTGACTTGCGGCCAAGAGGTTTTGCTGAGCGTGTCGCGGCGGCGGCGCGGATAGCGCGTCGCGCCAAGCGCGGTAGGCGAGGACTTTGGACGCCCGAAATTGGTACGGAGAAATGGATGCAATGCCCAACGGCAAATGTTGTCCCAAACTGGCAGCGGCCTCTGTTGGGCAGGCGGCATCTTGTCTTCAGTGGACACAGGCCGCGACGACGCCGACGGCAAGCCCTGTTCAAAAGGAGCAGGAACCGCTGTCGGTCTTTGCAATTACCCGTTCTGTCCGCACGAATTTCGGTCCTCTCGGGAAAACCAGCGGCGCGCCAACTTTCCTGACCCGCGATCGACCGACACTTCGGCCGGTGCCCGCGTGCTCGTGCCCACGCTTCTTCTCCCAGCTCCGGGTGCTGCTGGTGCTGCCTGCGCCTCCACGGCCCTGCTCCGCGCAGGCGCGTCGGGCGGCGCTTCCCGCGCCCGACCTGCTCCGGCTGGGCGACCCCTCGTCGCTGCTGGTGTCCTCCTCGCGCCTGCGCCGCCGTTCGCCGCGGTCCTCCTGTAGGAGGACGCCAACCGCACACAAGCAACGGCCCTGGCCAGGTTCATCAGGAACCCAGGTTCCGTGCATGGGCACTTCTGGCTTGGCCAAGGAAGCATATCATGTCCTGGGCCCCGGGCCCAATGGCCCCCCCGAAATGACATGGGCCCCAAGGTCTCCCGGGCCCTCCCCCCACAAGGGACGGGAAGGGGATGACGACGACGACGACGACGACGACAGTGGACGATGACGAGGACGACGACGACGACAACGATGTCGCGTAAGCTGTCAGTGGTAAGCTTTAAGTGTGCCTTTGACAAGGTCCCCCTGCTCGCCAATTCGGAACAGACGCAAGCCTGCCACAGCGATATCGACGCCATTCTCAACCATACGGGACTTCAGTTGCAAACGCGAGAGCGGCAGCTCGGAGATAGCACATTTGGGCGCACCCCGTCGAAAGGGCACCTCCGCCGCGCCTGACTGGAAACCCCGTCTGCACGGTGTAAAAAAAACACGGAGGCTAAGTGCGCTCGGCTCGAATCAAACTGCTTACGCTCCAAATAACCGGAGAAGCCCTCGCCCGCACGAGTGAGCCATGGCCCGCGTAATTAGCGGCCCCACTCACTGCACTCCCCCTGTGGTGTCGAGAACATGCCGCGCCTGCTAGCCGGTGAGTCATGGCCCGCATGGCGTCCCCACCCCCTGCGACCCCACTGTGGTGTCGAGCAAACGCTACGCCTGCTAGCCTGCAAGCCATGGCCCGCATTACACCCCCATCCACTGTACACCCCCTGTGGTGTCGAGAACATGCCGCGCCTGCTAACCTGTGAGCCATGGCCCGCATGGCGCCCTAACCCCCTGCGACCCCCCTGTGGTGTCGAGAAGACGTCACGCATGCTAGCCTGTGGGCCATGGCCCGCATAGCGCCCCCACCCATTGCACACCCCCTTGTGGTGTCACGCAAATGCCACACTTGCTAGCCTGCGAACCATGGCCCGCATCCACCCTCTGCGCACCTCCTGCGGTGTCGAAAAAACGTCACGCCTGTTAGCTTGTGAGCCATGGCCCGCATGGCGCCCCCAACCCCTGCGAGCCCCCTGCGAGCCCCCTGCGGTGTCGAGCATATGCTACGCCTGCTAGCCTGCAAGCCATGGCCCGCACAGCGCCTCCACCAACTACACACCCCCTGTGGTGTCGAGAACATGCCGCGCCTGCTAGCTGGTGCGCCATGGCCCGCATGGCGCCCCCATCCCCTGCGACCCAGTGTGGTGTCGAGAAAACGCGACGCCTGCTAGCCTGCGAGGCCCGCATAGCGCCCGCACCCATTGCACAAACCCCGTGCTCGCGGGCCTTGGATGGCCCACATGGCGCGGCTGTGCGCTGCTGTATGTTGTGCCGTGTGTCCCGGGTGATTGCCGCCTGTGCAATACATGCGTCTGGTGCATATGATGCCATGAACACGCTTTGTACACACTAGCGCTGTGCAGTGTCCGTGTTCGGCTAGTATGCGTGCGTGGTGCCTAAGTATGCAGTGCTAGCGCCTGGGGTGCACGATGCTATCAACACGCCAGGTGTGCTGTTGAATATGTGCGTGTCTGATGTGTGTGCGGGCGAGACGTAAGAGGAGGAGGAGGAGGAGGAGGAGGAGGAGGAGGAGGAGCAGGAGGAGGAGGAGGAGAAGGAGGAGGAGGAGGAGGAGAGGAGGTCCGCGGGTGAGACGCGGGTGGAGAGAAAACCATAACCCCACGAAACATGTGGGGAACTTGGCGAACGTGACTGGATTGTACACGTTTTGTTCCCCACATTCCCTTTTCTATATGTTTATAATTCCAAGGGTGCGGACCCCCCCCCAAAAACGGGACCCCCCGGATCCGTGCCACGGGGGCGGCCGAAAATCCTTTCCAAGGCGTGCACGCAGGCGGGTGGCAGTGCCAAATCGGTCGGCGCAAGCCCACAGAGACACCCAAGACGTTCCAGGATAGCACCCGGGTAGCCTTGAAGACCCTCCGCGAGAGCCCCAAGACCGTTCTCAAAGGGGGCCCGAGAGAAACAAATCATTGAATTCCCATTGGTTATTCAATGTTTTTAGCGTCCTTGCTTTTTCGGGCTTCCGACGCTCCCGGCCCGTCCAAGAAGCTCCCAAAACCGCTCCAAGACGGCCCAAGAAGCTCCCAGAGCGCGCTGAGAGCGCCCCAAGACGGTCCAAGAGGCGCCCGAGATGGCCCACGAACGCTCCAAGACGGCCCAAAAAAGGGCCCCAGGGGGGACCACGAACTGAAAATACGAGCCTCCCGCCCCGAGAAGGCCCAAGGAGGCCCCAAGAGAGCTCCACAGGGCCTCGGGAAGCCCCCTAAGTAGCTCCGGTGAGGCTCCAAAAACATCCCAAATTGTTACTTTTCCATTGGTCTTTCAATGTTTTCAGCGTCCTCGCTTTTTCGGATGTCCGACGCTCCAAGACCGCCCAGGAAGCTCCCAAAACCGCCCCACAACGGCCCAAGAGGCTCCCAGAGCGATCTGAGAAAGCCCCAAGAGTGCACAAGACGCGTCCGAGATGGCCCACGAACGTTCCAAGACGGCCCAAAGAGGAGCCCTCGGGGGGACCACGATCTGAAAATACGAGCCTCCCGCCCCGAAAGAGCCCAAGGAAGCCCCAAGAGAGCTCCAAAGGGCCTCGGGAGGCCCCCTAAGACGTTTCGGTGAGGCTCCAAAAACATTCAAAAATGTTACTTTCCCATTAGTTTTTCAATGTTTTCAGCGTCCTCGCTTTTTCGGATTTCCCGCGTTCCAAGACCGCCCAAGAAGCCCCCAAAACCGCCCCAAGAGGCTCCCAGAGCGTCCTGAAAAGCCCCAAGACGGTCCAAGACGCGCCCCAAGACGGTCCAAGACGGCCCACGAACGCTCCGAGACGGCCCAAAGAAGGGGCCCAGGGAGGACCAGATAACTGAAAATACGAGCCTCCCGCCCCGAAAGGGCCCAAGGAGGCCCCAAGAGAGCTCCAAAGAGCTTCGGGAGGCACCCTGGGAAGCTCCGGCGAAGCTCCAAAAAGCTTCCAAATCGTTAATGCTCCATTGGCTTAAGCGGAGGAGGAGAAGGAGGAGGAGGAGGAGGAGGAGGAGGAGGAGGATAAGAAGGCAGAGAAAGAAGTAGAACGAGGAGGAGGAAGAGGATGAGGAGGAGGGGGAGGAGGAGGAGGCGGAGGAGGAGGTGGAGGAGGGGAAGGAGGAGGAGGAGGAGGAAGAGGCCACAATCCCGGGTTCGCAACCATTTTTCTGGGAATTCCGTTGCCAACCCAGGATTCCAGCAGATTTCCAGTCACTCCGCTGAATTTGCGTTATTCAGTGCATCCGTAACCTCGGGCTCAGTGCGGGCGACAGTTGCAACATGCCTCGTCATGAGGAGATCCCGGGCGGCCCCAACTCATATGCGCCATTCCATGCGCCCGCGGCCTCCAACTCGCAGTTTTGGCCCGTCCCAGGTTGATTGCCTCCCTTTCTGCTCCTCCTGCACTTCTCCGAAGTACGAACCAGCGGACTGCGGCTAAAATGGAAAAAAGGATGGCACCACGGGCCAACCATTCCAAAGCTTCAAGGAACAAAGTGTATGGCGCGAAGCGCCAAAGCAGCCGTGTATGTATGTGTATATATATACATATATATATATGTGTATGTATCGTAAGGTTGTTGTGTTCTCGCCACCCGCGTCGCACCCGCGTCTCAAACACACCCCTCGCCCTTTCATGTCTCGCTCGTCATCATACTCTGTGACCCTCAATAGTTCTGGGTCCCTGGACTACTGGTACCCCCCGGACTACAGGCACCCCTTCCGTACACCCCCCCGGACTACAGGTACCCCCCCCCCCGACTACAGGTTCCCTACCCTGGACCACAGGTACCCCTCCCCGGACTACAGGTACCCACCCCGACTACAGGTACCCCCGTTAGGCGCTACAAATCCTCTCCGAAGCTACAGGACCCCGTCAATTCGCTATCCCCTGGGAGCCAAAGCGGCCCACCAAGCATGTCTCTGCACATTTCCACCCATCGCCCACATTGGGTCAGCGACGCGTGCGCGTGGAGCCACGCGTGCTTCGACGAATAACATGCGCGCCCGCCCGGACTACAGGTACCCCCGCGCGGCCCCCGGACTACAGGTACCCCCCCCGGACTACAGGTACCCCTTCCCCGGACTACAGGTACACCCCCCGGACTACTGGCCCCCCCCCGACTACAGGTACCCACCCCGGACTACAGGTACCCTCAGAACTATTGAGGGACACAGAGTACACATGCACACGTCATAGCCGTCACAACGTCAAACAGATACATACGTACAACCACACACTACGTGACACACACACACACACACGCGCACACACACATACACACTGCACGCACGTAAAAGAAAGATTACACCTGGCGGGTTCTGCATATCATATACACACGTATCTACAAGGCGGTCGCTAGCCGTGCTGACCGCGATGGTCGCCCAATGCAAGCGTGGCATATTCTCGACACCACAAGGGGGTGCGCAAAAGGGTGGTCTCTGAGGGCGGCCGCTGCCCGTGATGGTCGTCCAGGGAATGGCAAGCGTGGCAGATCCTGGACTCTTATCAGGAGGTGCGCGCGGGGTTGCCTCTGAGCGCGGTCTATATCCATGACGGCCGCCCAAGGCATAGCAAACGTGGCATGTTTTCGGAACCATGTGGTGTGCGCGCGGGGTGATATCTGAACGCGGCCGCTATCCGTGACGGTCGCCCAGAGCGTGGCAGGCGTGGCATTTTCTCGACACCATGAGGGAAAACGCACGGGGTGGTCTCTGAAGGCGGCTGCTATCCGTGACGGTCGTCCAGAGCATAGCAGGCGTGCCGTTTTATCGGCACCACAAGAGGGTGCGCAGAAGAATTGTCTCTGATGTCGGCCGCTATCGTGACGGCCGTCCAGGGCATGGCAGGCGTGGCATACATTCTCGACACCATAAGGTGTGCACACGGGGTGGTCCCTGAGGGTAGTCGCAATCCG